TTCTAAAATTCATACCTATCCTTAGAACTCATCAAACACTCAAAATGAAACCAAAATCAACAACACCCACACTTGAAAAATTACTCTATCCACCCAACCCGAAAATAGAGATTCAAAATCTTCCAATTCAATCTTCCCAACACTCATATGACTCAAATCATTCTTTAAGAGATTAAAATCATACAACCACAAGGTTAAAACCAAAATTCTCGAAATTGACTCACCTTAGAAACTCTCTTCTTTTCTTCCTCCTATTTTCTCCTTTCTTCCTCACTCAAATTCCATTTCTTTCCTCCCAAAACTTATCTTAGCTTATGCAATTAATTTTCTTAGCCTAGACTAGGTGAGTCATCCATTCTAGATCTATAACTCATCCAAATTGAGATCAAAATCAGATTTTGAAGAGAAAGAAAGAGGGAATGGGGGAAGAATGAAGGAAAGGATGAATGTTTGGCTTCCACGTTGCTTCTTCTTTCTTTCTTTTTTTTTCTTTTTTTTTTTTGGTGTGGTTATTATCTACAAGGGTATTTTGGTAATCTTTCACACATAGGGGTATTTTTTGGTCATTTTTGTCCAACTTCAAATTAAACATACTTAATTTAATAATCTCAATCCAAAATCTTTTGATAAAATACCCATAATCTTCTCTACCATTATATTATTTTCACTAAAATATGAAAATCCACCTTAAATTTTTTGGGGTATTACATACAATCTCTATCCAAACTAATAAAGGAACTAAATATATTAAAGATGTTCTACTAGTACCTAGCCTGGAGCATAATCTATTAAGTGTTGGACAAATGATTGAAAATGGATACTCTTTGCACTTTTCTGGAGACTCTTGCACAATATTTGATAAAAGAAATAAAAATCACATAATAACAAAAGTAAGGATGGAAAATAGAAATTTTCCTATCCAATGAAAATTTGTAAAAGCCACAGCCATGAAAGCATAAGTAGAAGATTCATGGTTATGGCATAGAAGATTTGGCCACTTTAATTTTTATGCACTAAAAACTCTTTATCAAAAGAATATGATGAGAGACCTTCCAAACATAAAAGAGATCCATGATGTCTGTGAAGGTTGCCAACTTGGCAAACAACATCGACACGCATTTCCATTTGAAAAGGCTTGGAGAACTAAGGCCTTGTTGGAGCTTGTTCACACAGACGTTTGTGGACCTATGAGGACTCCATCTCTTGATAACAACAGGTACTTTATCATGTTCATAGATGACTATACTAGAATGACGTGGGTTTATTTTCTATGAGAAAGATCAGAAGTATTCAATATCTTCAAAAAATTCAAAACCCATGTCGAAAAACAAAGTGGCCACTATATTAAAGCTCTAAGAAGTGATAGAGGAAAAGAATATACCTCTAAAGAATTCAACAAATTTTGTGAAGATGAAGGAGTAGAGCATCAACTAACAGTTGGCTATGCTCCTGAAAAAAATGGAGTCTTAGAGAGAAAAAATAGAACTGTCATGGAGATGGCAAGATCCAGGCATGCCAAACACGTTCTGGGCAGAAGTTGTATATACAACAGTATACTTGCTAAATAGATGCCCAACAAAAGCTTTACAAAATAAGACTTTTATTGAGTAAGGAGGAGAAGATAAAGCACTCAAGCTAAAGAAATCCTTGTACGGACTCAAGCAAGCACCACGAGCATGGAACAGCTACATAGACAAGTACTTCATAAACGCAGGCTTCAAGAGGAGCAAAAGCGAGCCTACTCTCTACACCAAAACTCAAGGTAATTTTGATATCTTAATTGTCTCTCTATATGTGGATGACCTCATCTACACTGGAAACAATGAAGAAATAATTCAAGAGTTCAAAAAAGATATGATGAAAACATTTGAGATGAGTGATCTTGGATTGATGCACTACTTTTTGGGCATTGAAATAAACCAAGAAGAAGATGGAATCTTCATATGCCAGAAAAAATACACTAAGAATCTTTTGAAAAAATTCAAAATGTATTGGTGCAAAACTGTAGCTACTCCACTTATCACCAATGAGAAATTAAAACAGGAAGATGGATCAAGTAAAGCTAATGAATCAGTTTACAGAAGTCTCATTGGGAGCTTCCTATACTTAACAACAACAAGACCCGACATCATGTATGCGACGAGCTTACTATCAAGATTTATGCAAAATCCAAGCCAAATACACTATGGAGTAGCAAAGAGAATATTAAGATACTTGCAAGGCACAATTGACTATGGCATATGGTATAAGTCCATAAAAGATCCAAGACTATTTGGCTACACAGACAGTGATTGGGCTGGATCAGTGGATGACATGAAAAGCACATCAAGCTATGCATTTACAATTGAATTAGGAATATTTACATGGTCATCAAAGAAACAAGAGACTGTGGCTCAATCATCAGCAGAAGCCGAGTACGTAACAGCAGCAAGTTCAGCATGCCAAGCTATTTGGCTCACATGAATATTTGAAGATATGGGAGAATGCCAGACAAAAGCTACTAAAATACTTTACGACAACAAGTCTGCTATAGCAATGGCAAAGAATCTAGTGTTCCACAGCAGGACAAAGCATATTGCCATCAAACATCACTTCTTACGAGAAGTCTCAGCAAAAAAAGAAGTTGAGCTCAAGTATTGCAAGACAGAAGAGTAGATTGCAGACATCTTCACTAAGGCACTTTCAAGACCAAAATTCGAACTACTACGAAGTATGCTCGGAGTAACACAAATGTGCATTAAGGAGGAGTGTTAAAAAGTAATGCACACTTGTATCTTGAATAATAAAGAAAAATCTTGAATAATATAGAATAATCTAAAAAGATTTAGAAAAGTTGACAAGTTAAAGTCACTAGAAACATCATACTAATTATATAATGTATTGTAACTAGATAATTCTAGATTTATTGTACAACTAGTGGTTGAAAATAACTTTGGAAAAGTCGGTTACTATGCAACCGACTTGTCCAAAACCAAGTTGCAACTTAGCATCCCTATATATATAAGCTAGCAGCCCACTTATGTATTCAATTAAGAAAAGTTGAAAAACTACAGCTGTCTAACTCTCCCATCAACCAACTCTAGTATTAAAGCCCTGTACCTTTCTTATTTCAATCAATATAATAAAATTACCTTGTTACTCTTTCAAAAAAATTTCTATTCAACATCAAGCTATTGTCCTAAACACTACCAACCATTTTCTAAATCTCTTCTCCCTTAAATTAACAAAAAACCTTGTGCCCTCCTTCAAACCAAATTGGGCAAGTGTATGCGCCGCCTATTGCTCCTTCTAGGTTTTGATACACCACATCTAATTTCCAGCTTGCTTGGCTGCTCTTGGGCTTGGGCTCTCTATTGGTTGCCACTTTTTTCACACCCCGTTTGATGAGCTGGTTCTTAATTTATTAGTTGACAACCTCCTCGGTGTCTCTAGGCCCAGTTGTATCATTTCTTGCTTGTGTGAACAAATAACAATGCTAAGAATACTAACATTCCGTGCATATTTTTATTAGAAAAAACTATAGTAAAGGCATCTTACAAAGCAATAGCAAAAATATTCATAGCTGAAATTAGAGTCTCCATTATTTCATTGTTTAGATTAGAGTTTTCCATTGTTGACTATTGTTTCAAGCCTGTCCTTGCTGATTTTGTTCTTGTACAAAGCCTTCTGTTTCTTCTGAGTCTTCTAAATCTCTTCTCCCTTAAATTAACAAAAAACCTTGTGCCCTCCTTCAAACCAAATTGGGCAAGTGTATGCGCCGCCTATTGCTCCTTCTAGGTTTTGATACACCACATCTAATTTCCAGCTTGCTTGGCTGCTCTTGGGCTTGGGCTCTCTATTGGTTGCCACTTTTTTCACACCCCGTTTGATGAGCTGGTTCTTAATTTATTAGTTGACAACCTCCTCGGTGTCTCTAGGCCCAGCTGTATCATTTCTTGCTTGTGTGAACAAATAACAATGCTAAAAATACTAACATTCCGTGCATATTTTTATTAGAAAAAACTATAGTAAAGGCATCTTACAAAGCAATAGCAAAAATATTCATAGCTGAAATTAGAGTCTCCATTATTTCATTGTTTAGATTAGAGTTTTCCATTGTTGACTATTGTTTCAAGCCTGTCCTTGCTGATTTTGTTCTTGTACAAAGCCTTCTGTTTCTTCTGAGTCTCTGTTGGGAGCTTCACGTCTGTTGCCAAACCAACAGCTTGAAGAACTCTTATGACATACCAAGTAAGATCAATTTGCCACCATTCGAAGCCTTGTCGAGCTGAGTACTCAAAAGCATGATGATTGTTATGCCAACCTTCTCCATGTGCTAGCAATCCAAACAACCTAAAACAGGAAAATTGGAATTCAATATACATTTACTATTTCCCAATGAAATTAGAAATTGCTTTTCCATCCAAGCTGCAAATACCAATTGTTTCTGGACAAATCACCAGTATCCCATACTTGCTTTCCCCATGTGTGGCAAATTGAATTTACTGCAAAAGTAACGTGGAGATAAAGTATTGTCCTCACACCCTGTAAAAGAATGAAAAACCAAGTGATTAATCGTAAGAACAAAAAGAAAAAGACCATTTGTTCAACAAGCTAGCACTTCACATAAAAATAAAAATAAACAGTAAGAGCAATTTTACCAAGCCCCAAACCAAAAACGGCAGGCCTCCCACGGCATATAGTAGAAATCCTAGTGCAAGTGAGTGAAAAGGGTATGTATAATGAAGAAATATATAGTAGGGCTGCTTTTTTAGATCTCCAACGTTGTTTAGTCGGCCTTCAGTCTGCAAAATTTCACAAGTACATATATATTAGTTTCAACAAAATTACTATTAGAATGTTTGAGAGAGAGAGAGAGCTTACACTTCCAAACCTAGAACCATAATCAAAGATCCAACCAATATGACTAAACCAGAATCCCTTAATAGGGCTATGAGCATCATTCCACGTGTCGGTAAATTTGTGGTGGTCTCTGTGAGTGCTCACCCATTCAAGTGGACTTCCCTGTTAACGAAGTCAAAGTAAGGTTTATAAATAGTTCAGATTCATAGTTTAACAATATAAACATCGTGGGAGACGACCTAACGATACGGCATTTTTCCAAGGAAAAGCCTCTACAAAAAGTTTTCTTAATTAGAATCATATGTACTTAATTCATAGAGACCTGAAGTGCCAGAGTGCCGCAATAGGCAAAAAAGTATTCAAGCCATTTGGGAAGCTTAAAACTTTTGTGGGAAAGGTTTCTGTGGTAAGACAGAGTTACACCAAGACCTGTGAGAACATACAGAGCCATGGCCAACCAAACAGCACTCAAATTGAAATGGAATGGTGCTAAAAGAGCAAGGCAATGCAACCCCAAAATGACAACCGCCGAAGTTATGTCCATGAAGTTCCATTGCCTCCCCAAAAGTTGAACCCTCCACTTCACCAACCAATAGTACCCCGCTGCCTCTATTTCCTCTTTCTGCTTCTTCTGCATGGCTATTGGCTAGCTATAGAAACTTATGGCTCCACTGTATAATAAAGAGATTGTGTTGAAAAGGAGAAAACCCATTTCACCGAAGCTTGTTTTATACAATTTGAAGCCTCTATTATTACTGTTGTCGTTGTGTGCATAATTACATGTATGCATGTCATCCTGACTTTTTACCAAACAATATTTAATATTAGCAGGGCATCATTAAGAAGTAAGGAGGTGAGGGAGAGCAGTCATTCAGTCAGAGATGAAAACAGGGCATTTCAGAGTCCGAAACCAGCTGTATTATTTATAATGTGTGCTACCCACCGATGAGCTGTCTCATCATCACATTAAAATCTCTGTTTTTTGGGAGAAAATAAAGAGCAGATATTATAATGTGTGATTAATTCTTCTTCTATATAGGTTTCAGAGTCCGAAACCAGCTTTATTATTTATAGGCTTAATTGCTATACAACTTGAAACATTGGTTAACTTTTACCTCATTTATATTATTAGACTTTATTTTTGGTGGAGAAGTTGTATTTTAACTCTGCATGAAGTTGATTTAGGAATGGTTTAGTCTCTAATAATGTTAGGAGTTGATTTTCCCACTCCCTTTTTCTCCACTTATCCATCTTTTTGGTTTTTAATACTTTTTAATCACTTTTATTCTTTTTTTTTCTTTCTCTTTTCTATTCTACCCTTACTCTACAATTTTCTTTAATAAATATTATGAAAGAATAAAAATATGAGGCTCGTTTGGTACACATGACTGTCTTGGCATGGACTATGCTTAGGGACTGTCTTGGCTTGGCTTGGCTAGGTCTAAGTTGGATAACACTTATCCTGCGTTTGGTGTACGCTTGGACTAGGACTAGATTATTTTTTTTTCAAAACTATCTATGTATATGTATATATGTATAAATACATGTATTATGTATGTGTACATATGTATTTTATAATATATGTGACATGTATGTGTATATACGTGTATATATGTATATTATAAATAATATATATATATATATGTAGGGGCTTTTTTCTTCCGGCAGCAAATGGGCTGGGTTGATGAAGTTGTCCCCTTTGTGTCTGAGTTCGAAAATTAAGCCCCAAAATGCTTCGAAAGGACAGCAAGGCCTTAGGAAGTATTTTGGTTATCTTCACCAATAAAAATAACAACAAATTACAGATAAATCTTTTAGATTTGCATGAGAAGATTATGGCATGGGCGCAAAATTAG